CAGAACGTTTCTTCTCTCCTATCAAGAAGCGGTTTCTCGGTCTACGCCTGGACACAGCCAACTCTCGTTCTTCGATAGATAACAATGAGTTCTGTACGCCCACCACTCATCCTGATAATCAGGGTGTGACCCCGCAAACAACCTCTCCATGGAGGATACCGTCCTTGGACTCTCCCACCAACGGCATATCAATTGATGATGAACCTATCCCCAATCCGTGTCTTCCTCCTACCACAAATAGTCCAATAGGGCGTACCTTCATTTCGCCTAGACCTCCTCCCACTCTTTGTGTGGATGGCATTGAACTGAATGGTGAGCGGACATCAAGCCGTGTATCCCCGGTCGAGGCTAGTCGAAATTACTATCCCAAACGCGTATTTCACGATAAGTCCCAACGCGAGGGTAGCAGCGGCGTGTACGGGCCGTCAATCTTTACGCAAAGCAGCATTGATCTCTCCGCTCCGCGTTCGGAGATGTATGCAGGCACCGAGGATCCTGGAGGTTTGACCGTAGATGATACGACACTATCTGTGTTTGGTCGTGGACCTGGCGGTGGTCAAAAGGGACGGTACGTCGGCGTAGCCGATAACCAGGGGCGAAGAGTCGCATCTCCTCCACCATCATTCAAGGCTTATCATGCCCCAGAGCCTACGAATACTGGACGCCACAACTATATAGCAATGGATGGGAGGTACCCGCATGATATACGTCGTGACAGGGTGTGACATTCATCTAGCCTTACCCCTCATTTGTCCCCCCTCCTTCTGTGCTTCCTTTGCTTCTGGGACTTTTCCTCTTTCGTGCTTGTTGGTGGAAACCAGTGTTGTACCCTTGATAGTTGTACTTGTTTGTTCCATGTGAGAACTCTAGCGTGATGGCACAAAACGAGAGGCGATAAACAGGACAGATAAAGTAGAAATATGGATTACCCATATATGCACATGTGGTCAGTCGGAACGAGAGGTATGCCGGGGCGTACTAGAACAAGATCAGGATCCGTGAATTCGAGTGGGAGTGTCAATGAGGTAAGCGTCGATTACCCAATTCTATACCGTAAACGTCTAAAAATTCAATTCATGAACAGAAACAGAGAATCCCATGGTAGTAGTTCAGCCGGACACCAGTTCCGGCCTCGAGTCGTTGATAGAAGGTATGGAAATATCAGAAGTCGACGAGAGCGCCGACGAATCAGGTACATCAATCCAAGGTAGAAGTGATTCGAACGACTTGTTGGTCCCATCTCCTCCCCCCTCCTTTTCCTTAGCCTGAATCTGTCGTCCCAGTCGCGCAAGGAACGGGTCTACTCGGTCCACCTCGGAATCATCGTACATTGACGCCTCCCTCGCATCTCTAAAGTTGAACGACGAGATTACGGGTAATGGTAAATGACCTGCACTCCGCGCCGCAATGGAGGCGTTGTACATTCTGCGGTTGGGCGCACGCCCAGGGATTGGTGGAGGTAGCCCGTTCACGCCGGGAACGGCTAGCCGGTCATTCGACGATGACGATGACGAGGCTAGTGAGATATGGGATGGCGTCGACACTTGGATAGTGGATAGAGATGGCATAGGGACAGGTATGGATACTGGTACTGGAGCTGGCTTAGACTGGAACGACCTGACCGTCCGTAACATCACCTGCGTCTTGACCGGAGCAACCTCTCTCTTGGCAATAGATACATCAATATCTCCATTATTGGAACTAGGGTTGAGAGTGACCGATGGAAGAGGCGGCGGTGCCGTGGACGGTGAGGCTACGTTGATGGGAGTCAAGGAGGCTGGGAGGCTCGACCGACCCTGACTAATCGCATTCCTCCCATTACCAATATTCGTAATTGGCGTAGAAGGCGACGAGAGAGGCGACGAGGAAGGAAGCGAGAACGAGGGAAGAGGCGGCAATGGAGTCGAAGGCGAAGGCATTGGTGGTGGACACCCGACTCGACTCGTACGCGGACTGCGGTGACCTCCGGTCGACCGGCGCCGAGAACCGACGATAGCGCTGTTATGACCGGGAGGAAGGAGCTCGCCCATCATCTCAGCCGTGCTGGGCGTCACTGCAGAGTGGGTATCTTCGGTACCTCCTGGACTTGCAGGAGGATACCCATCGTAATAGTCATCTTCTTCAAGGATAATAGGGCTCACGGGGCTAATGGGCGAGGCCAAGAACGCCGCATCATCGTTCATCCCTTCCCCTCCTCTGGGGTGGCCCAGCTCTGTGGAGGAGCCCGCAAAGAAGGAAGAACTATCATCCCGAATCGTCGTGGGAGAGGTTGTAGATTTGGGTTGGCGTGTAAACGTCGTCTTGAGCGGAGCGAGGAGAGTCTCTCGAAGTGATTTGCGTTGCTGTTGGTGAACCACCGATGCCGCATCGGGCTGAGCTGAGGCGTGAGTCGAGCTGAAATCAACCAAAGACTTTGACGCCCAGGACTGCCTAATTGACAATCTAGATTGCGCTGGGGAGGATTGCATATTAAACAATGGCTCTCTCACGACCTCGGTGGTGAGGTTGGTTGGATGATACTCACAGTCGTCTGACCCGACTGACGAGGCTTTTGTAGACTTTGCATTGGAGTCGGTGCGGGTGCGCCGTTTGGCGTCCTTTTCTGCTCTGTAGGCCTTGGCCTTGCCGAGTTCGTATTGCATGACACGGTCAAACACCCCGTCTTCTACGACGTGCACCCATCCATTCCCTGCGCCTCCTCGACCAGAATACGTCGCCTGGAGAAAGATGTCAGAAGAGAGCAGCAAAGAGAATGGATTGGTGGAATGTAGTAGGGTATGACATACCTTTAGGCGTGGTGGCTCGACTTCGATGATCTTCTTGGAGGTCGACACCTTGTCGGCTGCCCCGCTTGCAGACTTCTTTTCTGAGACCTTGATATAGTTGCCTCCACCTCGTCCATACGAGATCTGCAGGAAGAAAGGTTGGTTAGTTGTGGGTTGCTGTGCCGATAAGAGCTGAAACAAGCACGTCGACGCGCACACTCACCTTTTTGGGTTTGGAAGGTTGTGATAGTGACGCTGCAGTTGCTGTGGCCATTATGATGAAGATGATACGTAAGTTGTGGGTGGAGAAAGAGA